ACAGAGAGAGTAGCAGAAAAGAAAAAAAAACCCGAAAAAATTGAATCAATTGAACATGCACGACAATTAATCTGCGCCGGATGTATATAAACCCTACTAAAATCAGACTAATTAGAACTTAGAGAGAGAGAGAGTACCGAGCGGTTGGGATCCTCGAGCGAGGCCGAGAGAGATGAAGAGAACGAAAATAAGTAAAAAAGAGAAACCTAATGAAAGTAAATATAAGTATCTCTCAATAATATCTAAAAAAAAAAAAATAAAATAAAAAAAGGAATAAATAATGCCTTCTATTTTTAATATATGTCATTTTCAAAAGTTACACATTAATTATTATATATCGTTTTGGAGAAAGAAATTATGTGGGCCCACATGCCTCCACGTGTGCTTATAAATTTAATTATTTTTTACTAGTACAATCCCGTGTACTACATGGGTATTTAAATATTTTTATACAATAAAAATTAAAATAATTTAAATTTTATTGTGAAATTATGCATGATGAATATGCAACACTAATAAATAACTAACAAAATAATTAAATGGTTCCCCTATTTTTATATTAAATTTGCCAAAAAAGATATTTTCAATTATAGTTTTTAAATTATCTATGTATAAAACTGATATTATTTACAACTTCATATATTTAATTCGTTTTTTTAAACAGAATATATTTTATAGAGTCAGTGTCTCACTTTATTAAATTTTCAAGTATTTTAAATTCATATAATTAATAATTTAGACTTTACGTAAAAATGTATTTTTTGGACATGTATAAAATACAAAAAAATATTTTATTATATTTAATTATGATATGATTTTATATTTACTATTTTAAATAATATAATAACATTCAATTTTTTATATAATCTATTTAAATTGAGAAATATTCTTATAAACTTTTTTATGTAATTTTATAAAAATTAATGGAGAAAACAATAAAGTGATTATTTTATGGTGTATCAATGAATTAGATTTTTTTTTTATATAAAATAATTTATTTTGTCATGAGACCTTTTTTAAATTGAGTGAATAATATAATTGATTTTATTTATAAATATAGATGATATTGTTTTTTTATTTTATATATGCAATATGGATGTCAAAACGAATATCGTTAAAATATGATTATTCTGATAGATCATATATAAAAAAAAATACAAATAAAAAGTTTATAAAATTTTAAATATAAAAAGTATACATATTTATAATAATTAATATATGAATTAAATAAAAAATGTAAGAGTAGTATATGATTATTTAATAAAAAAGGAAGCTAATATAATTTACGGTAATTCCCAAGCCTAATAGTCAAAACCAAACATGAAAATGTGTCAATATGAAGCACCAATGTATGCCAAATAAGTTTACAAAGCACACGAGTATACTACTTAAGCTCAACGCATTTGAAAATTATATATATAAGTGATTAAAGATAAATATAATACTGCCTTTTTTCCCATTAGATTGCTTTGCAGAAAATGTAAAAAATGGCAAGAATTTCATAACAAATAATAAAAAAAAAAAGAGGAAAATAAAAATAAATATATATTTAAACAAAAAAAATAAAATTGTGATGTAAAACAAAAGGAAAAAGAGATAATAAAAAGTTGTATTCTTATTCCAGAGCCTTTTGTTAGTGGGACTTTTGCAAATGTAATTGATAACCGGGAAAATATAATAACATTTGGATAATTGACTAAAATTTCGTGAAAATATAAATGGCGTAAATAATAAGCTAGGCTGTTTTTTTAGTAATTGGCTACATAGAGAGCCAATGTTTGTCCTATTTGTATGGTTATTTTTGTCAGTATTTTGTGTGTCGTTTTCCTCATTTTAGGTCTTTTCTTAGGTATTTTTGGTCCATTTTGTCATTTCTTGTGCTTTTATCTTTATTTTGGTGTGTTTAGTATTTTTTGTGTTTTCTTTTCTATTTTCTTTGTTTTTTGTGTTTTTCCGTTGGTGCGATTTCAGGTTTAGGTTGATCGGATTGATGAGCTTTCAGACGAGAGAAGAAGCGTTTTGTTCGAACATCATTTTGTGGACCCAAACATGCGAGGATCGAGTTTTCAGCTCGGGCAGTACCCAAGCGATGCTAGACGAGCACGCGAGCCGAAGAAAAAGCTACAATTTTGATCTTCCAGGCCTTAGCGCCGCTAAGGCCATAGCGGATAGCGCCGTTTTGAAGTTTAACGGGGCTAGAGGAGAGTAGCTAAGGAAGTTTAGCGGCGCTGAGAAAGGTTAGCGCCGCTAAGGTATGGTTTGTGACCACTCGCGATTTTCGTGGATTTTGAATTTAGGAATGATATTAGATCGGGCTAGGGCAGTTTTTACTCAGTTTTGAACATCTTTTTTTAGACTTTTCACTGCCAGAACACCTTTTCTCTTGGTTTTTGATGGGATTCAACCTTGGAGAGTGAAATCTTCCAAGATTCAACTTGTGGATTTGGTTTTCTTTCTTGTTTTCGACATTGGATTTATATCAATCGTAAGCTTTTCTTCGTTTATCCTTGATGATTATGGCTTGGGTTGGTGTGAATGTTGATGTTGAATGCATTATGAGTTGCTAAATTCGTTAGCTAGGGT